TGCTGAGGATGATGTTCTCCAGATTCATCCATGTCCCTACAAACGACACAAATTCATCATTTCTGATTGCTGCATAATATTCCATGGTGTATATGTGCCACATTTTTCCAATCCAGTCTATTATCAATGGGCATTTGGGTTGATTCCAGGTCTTTGCTATTGTAAACAGTGCTGCAATGAACATTCGTGTACATGTGTCCTTATAGTAGAACGGTTTAAGGAAATACTTTTTACTTATATAGAAAACACAAAATAACCCAAGACAACTGAATTTCACAACCCTGAAAAAAATCATTCAATAAGCTAGCTATTTAAAGTATCTCCTAAAAGTTACATACAATTATAATGAAGGGAAGAGACAATTGAATTATGAAAGTATAATGAGCCAAACATTTAATATATTAAATATATAAACTATTAAACACATTGGAAGATTTCAACTTTTACCTTATGTCCTCAAAATTTATGTAAAGCTAGTTATCATAAAGGTAACATATTCCCCTAAGAACAGTAAGCTTCAAAATGGTTATCTTAAGGCAATTCTGAAAACTTACTTTGATCCAAAGCAAGCCTAAATATCATTATGTAATGAAAGCATTAAAGAATTTTCACCATTACACATAACAAAGTTTATATAGAAAAATCATGTTTCAAGTTCCAGCTTAAAATACAAGAAATAAATATCAAATTCCTGTTGCTTTGTTTTTCCAGTATTGCAAAAAGACTTCATAAAGTATGTTCATTTCACACAACTCCTGGCAATTTTATGGCAACTACTGTAAGGACTTTAGGACTTTATCTTGAAAAACAAAACTAAAAATAATTAACTACTTGTATTTCCCAAGTTTATCATGACTTTTCACATCTCCGTGACTTTCACTTTATTTGACAATATAGAGTTAAAATCATGTTGGAAGATAAATGGTTAGGAGGGAAGGAAAAAGAAGAGGAACATAGTTGTTTCATTCACTCAAATATTTATCAAATGCCTACTGACCAGAACTGTTCTAGGCATCTGAGAAACATGGCTAAACAAAAAAAGAATATACCAATTTATGAAGGATTTCTGCTGCCAGTAGCAACAATTAAATTACAGTGATAAGATATATGAGCTAGTGCTCCTGGATCCCACATACTCATTGACAATGGTTTCCTCCTACTTCTTCCTTTACTACAAAACATACAGAGAACAAACTTAAAAAAAATTCTCCTGAACATAAACGAAAATAATATATCTGAGATAAAGAATCCTCTAGGGGTGCACTACATATAGCCAAAGATATGGGCATCATTGCTAGAAAGCAGATTAATCTTCTTCTCATGCTGTCATATCATCTCCTCTCTTACTACTGCAAACTATGCAGTGAAAAGCAACAAAAGCCAAAATAGACAAATGGGACCTAATCAAACTCCACAGCTTCTGCACGGCAAAAGAAACAGTCGCTAGAGTGAATTGGCAACCAACAGAATGGGAAAAAATTTTTGCAGTTTACCCATCTGACAAAGGGCTGATATCCAGAATTTACAAAGAACTCAAACAGATTTACAGGAAAAAAACAAACAAGCCCATTCAAAAGTGGGCAAAGGATATGAACAGACACTTTACGCAAGAAGACATATATGAGGCCAACAGTCATATGAAAAAATGCTCATCGTCACTGGTCATCAGAGAGATGCAAATCAAAACCACATTGAGATACCATCTCACGCCAGTTAGAATGGCAATCATTAAAAAATCTGGAGACAACAGATGCTGGAGAAGATGTGGAGAAAAAGGAACACTTTTACACTGTTGGTGGGAGTGTAAATTAGTTCAACCATTGTGGAAGACAGTGTGGCAATTCCTCAAGGCCTTAGAAATAGAAATTCCATTTGACCCAGCAATCCCATTACTGGGTATATATCCAAAAGACTATAAATCGTTCTACTATAAGGACACATGCACACGAATGTTCATTGCAGCACTGTTTACAAGAGCAAAGACCTGGAATCAACCCAAATGCCCATTGATAATAGACTGGATTGGAAAAATGTGGCACATATACACCATGGAATATTATGCAGCAATCAGAAATGATGAGTTTGTGTCATTTGTAGGGACATGGATGAATCTGGAGAACATCATCCTCAGCAAACTGACACAAGAACAGAAAATGAAACACCGCATATTCTCACTCATAGGCGGGTGATGAAAAATGAGAACACATGAACACAGGGAGGGGAGTACTAAACACAGGGGTCTATTGGGGGGAAAAGGGGAGGGCCAGTGGGAGGGGGAGGTGGGGAGGGATAACCTGGGGAGAAATGCCAAATGTGGGTGAAGGGGAGAAAGGAAGCAAAACACACTGCCATGTGTGTACCTACGCAACTGTCTTGCATGCTCTGCTCATGTACCCCAAAACCTAAAATGCAATAAAAATATATATATATTAAAAAAAAAAAAAAAAAGAAAATATCTTTGAAACTTAAAACAAAAAAAGAAAAGCAAGATCCCTGGGGATGGGAGTCTAAAAACAGCAACATGTTTTGAAGATATGGAGGATGGCAGAAGAATCTTGGGCAGTAGCAATATGTTATGACTAAAGGGATAGAAATCAAGATTTGTTTGCAAGACAACAAAAATAGTACACATAAGAGAAGAATGGGTAGCTTCAGAGAAGTAAAGCAGTTATAATTCTTCCAAAGAGAACACTCTTGTAAAGGAAGATGTGTCCCTACCAGGTCTGGTACTCTTGGGCTTTAATTAGTATAATCATAATGCATAATGCAGGTACATCTGAAAGGCTGGAGTCACCACTATGTTGTTATCTTTCATAATTAAGTCAACCATAGCTTTCCACAGATATGCTGCATTACCCATACTCAGAGTCATCTGGAGCTTTTACACACACACACACACACACACACACACACACACACACACATATTTTACTCTTCTGTTCAGACCTATTCCACAAGACACTAAACAGAAACAAAAATCTTAAGATTATGAGCAAAACTTAGAAGCTGTTGAAATATGAAAGATTTTCTATCGCTTAAATTATTACAGTTCTTAAGTATGCATAAAAATTAAATATTATAATAAAAACAATATCATGATTATAACAGTAAACAGTGAATTAATAGCTTCAAGACACTGCGGACTCTGAATCTGGTCTCTGGAAATAAAAGCATAGAGCAGTCAGCTAAATATTGAACATACATTGAAAAGTATCCATAAGAATAAGTAATCAAGCCAACCAAACAAACTATTCCTTTTTAATACTAAAACCAAGTTCTTTACTTTTAATATCTTAAAAACAATTTTAGTTCTGTATTAGTCCATTCTTGCACTGCTATAAAGAAATACTTAAGACTGGATAATTTATAAGGAAAAGAGGTTTAATTGGCTAATTGCTCCATAGGCTGTATAGGAAGCCTGGCTGGGGAGGCCTCAGGAAACTTTCAGAAAGCAGAAGGAGAAGGGAAAGCAGGCACATCTCACATGGCTGGAGCAGGAAAAAGAGAGAAAAAGGGTGAAGTGCACTTCATCCTTACGAACAAGCAGATTTCATGAACTCACTCACTATCACCAAGAACAGCAAGGAGGAAATTTGCCCATGATCCAGTCACCTCCCACCAGGCCTCTCCTTCAACACTGGTGATTACAGTTCAACATGAGATTTGGGTGGGGACAGAAATCCAAACCATATCACTCACCCTCGGCCCTTCCCAAATCTAATATTCTTTTCACACTAGAAAATACAATCATCCCTTCTCAACAGTCCCCCAAGTCTTTACTCTTTCTAAAACATAGCAAGAATGACTTTTACTCTAGTTCTCAGTAAGTTCCTCATCTCCATCTGAGACCTCCTCAGCCTAGACTTCACTGTCCATATCACTATCAGCATTTTGGTTATGAGAATTCAACAAGTCTCTTGTACGCTCCAAACTTTCCTTTATCTTCCTGTCTTCTTCTGACCTCTCCAAACTTTTCTAACCTCTGCCCATTATGCAGTTCCAAAGTCGCTTTCCATTTTCAGGTATCTATATAGCAACACCCACTCACTGGTACAAATTTTCTGTATCAGTCTATCCTCACACTGCTGTAAAGAAATATCTGAGACTGGGCAATTTATAAAGAAAAAAGGCTTAGTTGGCTCATGGTTCTGCAGGCTGTACAGGAAGCAAGGCTGGGGAGGCCTCAGGAAATGTTCAATCATGGCAGAAGACGAAAGGGAAGCAGGAATGTCTTACATGGCCAGAGCAGGAGGAAGAGAGAGGATGGGGAGGTGCTACATATTTTAAACCACCAGCTCTCATGACAACTGACTCACTATCATGAGAAGGGAAAGGGGAAATTCGCCCCCATGATCCAATCACCTTCCACTTGGCCCCTTCCTCTAACACTGGAGATGACAATTCAACATGAGATTTGGGCAGGGACATAGATCCAAACCATATTAAGTTCTAATTATAAAATTCATTTATGTAAAAGCAAAACACTCCTAATTGCTTCCATAGAAAGTCATCACGAATCTATGAGCCAGTCTTCCTTTTAATATTCTGTAATGCAAGGTCCACCAATAATTATATCTTTCTGGCTAAGCAATTTTTAAATACAATATTTAAATAAGAAGATATGGCAACCAAGGAAAAATATATTTTTAAAAAACCATATATTATTTACAATTTGTATTAGTTTATGCTTCTGTCATAATTTATGAGAATGCAGAGAATTAAAACACAGAACCAGATGTACATTGAGAAATAATTCTAAAATGTTTCAAAACTCGAATGAATTCTTATTTTAGAACTCAGACATTTTATATATCATATATAATATATAGGCTCCAACTCTGGTTGGAGGAAAAGGGCAATTTCTATTGACAAAAGATTTACTTTCATGAAGCAAAAACAAGCTTTCCCATTACTAGAATCAAAGTTGTAAGCCAAGTTTCAAAGTGCAGTAGACAACTTCACAAGAGAATATTCCCAAGTAGAATTTATAATTTACATACCTGTACAGATGAATATTTGGAAAAATTTCCCATTTGATGCCACCTAAAATCTTCATTTAGTCTTTGATCTGAAACAAAGCGAAAAACAGATTTCAATTCTTTAAAACTACAAATACAGTAACTATTTAATATAGCCAATGCAAAACGTCTAGTCTCTACTGCTTCTCAAGATAAGATAAATCATCAATTTTGATACACCATTTTAGAACCTGAAAATAAGCCCTTTTATATATCTAAGCCAACTAATTACTGCTAAGTGAAAAAAAGAACATCTGCAAAGAACTACCTTTTCTGATTTCATAAACATGAATTCACAGCCTCTGTTGGCTTGCTCTTCAGGTTAATGGAAGTAAAACATATTCTCCACATCTTATTCCTGCTACTAAAATTGAGAAGCGTTGGGAAGATAAACTATAGCCATATATTTTTAGGTTTCTTAAAAGCAACTGAAACTCTTCCAGGACAAACCTCTACCTTGAGGAGAAATTGCAGGACAAAGAATCCAAATTAAACAGGAGTGGGTAAGAGACAATGGGGAAATAAGACCCAGAATAAAGGCGAGAGGTCTCAGCAAAAACAAGGCCAGTCCAGGCCCAGTGGCCCATGCCTGTAATCCTAGCACTTTGGGAAGCCAAGGCGGGTGGATTGCTTGTGGTCAGGAGTTCAAGTTCAGCCTGGCCAAGATGGCAAAACCCCATCTCTACTAAAAATACCAAAATTAGCCGAGCGTAGTGGCACACACCTATAATTCCAGCTACTTGGGAGGCTGAGGCAGGAGAATCACTTGTACCCGGGAGGCAGAGGTTGTGGTGAGATAAGACTGCACCATTGCACCCCAGCCTGAGTGACAGAGTGAGACTCTGAAAAAAAAAAAGAAATAACAAGACCATATTTTTATTGACAACAAGAAAAGTAACATACATAGAATAGTACCCAACAAATTTGCAATTATACATCCTTTCCAATTCACACAGAAGATTTAATGTTTATTATTTGCTGGTAAAAGAAAGTCTCAATAATTAAGGACTGAGGCCAAAGACAGTATGTTATCTGACAACAGCACAATCAAGAATCAAAAAGAAAAGGGAAATTTTTTATACGTTGGAAGTTTAGAAATCACTTTTGGCCAAGCATGGTGGCTCATGCCGTTGATCTCACTGCTTTGAGAGGCCAAAGCAGGAGAATCACTTGAGCCTACAAGTTTGAGGCTGCAGTGAGCTGTGATTGCATACTACCCTACAGCCTGGGCAAAAAAGCATGACACTATCTCAAATAAATAAATAAATAAATAAATAAAATTAAAACCCACTATGAATAACCCACGATCTCAGGAGGAGTTACAAAATAAATTTAAAAATATTTTGAAGTGAACAATAGTGAAAATGTGACAGATATCTCAAAAACTTGCTTAAAATCTGTAGCTTTAATTGCATATACCAGAGAAAAAGACGGAAGTTACAAATGCATTCCAAGAAGTAAGAAAAACATTAAATCCTAAGAAAGCCAAGTCGAGGACATAAAGATAAGCCCAGAAAATAAAGAAATAGAAAATACACTCAGGTAAAATGATTAAAAATATGATCATCTCAAAAGTTATTTTTAAAAAGCATCTGATGAAATTCAAGATATATTCATGATAAACCCTTAGCAAAGTAAGTCTAGAAGGGAACATTGTTATTATAAAGAATGCTTATGTAAAATACACAACAAACATCTTACTTATGGGTGAAAATGTTGAAAACTTTCCCTTGGAAATTAGGAATCACATAAGGATAAATTCTTATGACATTCTATTATAACACTCTATTCGAGGTCTAAGTTAATGCAATAAAGCAAGTAAAAGATCTAAAAGATATAAAGGATGAAAAAACTGTCATTATTCATAGTTATGAGTGTATATGTGATCAATCAAAAAACATCACAGATATATATATATATATATATATACATATTTTAACGCTTTCACTAGGAGCCGGCTTTATTCACTCAGATACTCTGATTCGAAAACAACCTGAAAGCACATCGTAACTGTAGGATTTACAGACGAGAACAAGGACCTCAGAACCAACTCTAGGTGCCCTGGAAAAAACCTGCTTTAAACAAAGACAACAAAATAAAAAATAAAGCAAATAAAACCTCCCTTGTCTCCCAGGGTCGGGGGTTCAGGGCAACTGCAGTAAAGACTGACACGTGGCAGAGGGGTAGATTAGGAGCCGATTTATTTCTCTGGTGTACTGAACAAGAGTCCAAGTTTAAAGCATTAAATAAGAGGCGACCGTTCAGGAGGGAACAATGGCTTGAAAATGAAAATGAAGACAGAGCTGGAGCAGCGCGCCTCTTTCCGTGAGTGATGAGAAGCGAATGATTTGAAAAACGTGAAGGGAAGGTTGGTGACGCTACAGAATAGAGCCCCTCCCTCCCACCACGGGGGCGGCGGCTGCCCGCTGTGTCCAGCTTCGGGGCACAACAGAGCCAACCCCAAAGCCGGCCCCACTGTGAGCTTCCAGTGCCCTTCTGCTGAGAATGCCCGGAGCAGAGGGTGGCAGGTTCCCAGGGGAACCGCTTCCCATAACGAGCAAGCCAGGTTACGTGGGTTTCCCCGGAAATTAACTTTCTGCAGACTTACACCCGCCCAGGACATCAGGATAAAATGCCGCGGCCCTGAGAAGCCGCCAGGCGTGAACATGCAGGGACTTCCTGCTTCACCGTCTGAGGCCGAGGGCTCATGGGGTCTCAGCAGAACACGGGCTGGAGCTGACTGGGGTCATTCCTCCTACACCCCGACCTCCCCAGCCCCAGCTTGTCATCACGGAGGCAGAGAACCCACGGCCCGTGGAATCCAAGTGACGCACGAAGCTTCGTGGCGTAACGGGCCGGTCACTCCGTGGAAGTATCCCCCACCACCCCGCCCCCCGGTTAAAAATTAGTTGTCAGTCTTGGAAAATGTCTGTTTTCCTGAATAAGTGAAAGCCACTTAGAATAGTCCAGCCACAGAGAAACTCAGCGGTGGCAATATTTTAAAATCCATTTCCCCATGGGAGTGAGTTTAAAAGAGAAAATTCAACAGTCCTCTCCGGGAATAAATTCAGAAACACCCCTGCCTGTGTGGAAAAGCTGGCTGCACAGGGGAACTGGACTCAGGGCTGAGACACAGAAGATACAACCTCAGGACCCATCGGCTTTTTTTTTTTTGAGACAGAGTTTCACTCTTGTCACCCAGGCTGGAGTGCAGTGGCGCGATCTCGGCTCAATACAACCTCCACTTCCCAGGTTCAAGCGATTCTCCCACCTCAGCCTGCCGAGTAGCTGGGATGACAGGTACCTGCCACCATGCCCAGCTAATTTTTGTATTTTTTAGGAGAGACAGGGTTTCACGGTGTTGGCCAGGCTGGTCTCGAACTCCTAACCTCAGCGTGAGCCACCACGCCAGACCAGTTTTCAAGGACCAATTCCGCAAGGTGAATTTTGGCAGAGAGAAGGAACAGACTGTCTGCCGGCAACCCTAGCAACATACAAGGTGTTCCACACCACCTATTTTTTTTTGCTGGTTGACTGCATTCTTGTGATCATCTGTGAGGTGTTTAACCGAATGTTAAAAAAAAAAGGTCTGTCTTTTCAAGAAGGGTATTTTGGCTAAAAGGTCTCCTCTCCATTTCTCAGAAGGGAGAGGCCCCGGCTTCCATGAGGATGTAAACATGAATGCGCTGATGTGAGCTTGCAGAAGTCCCTTCAGAGACGATGGTGCTGAAAGGCTACTTCCACGCCTCCCAGGATGTTCCCGCATTTCTTAGAAACCCTCGCAGGGAGGAGCTGAAAGGGAAATGGTGTGCCATGCCTTGAGTGTCTGTGAAGGAACCCCTCCTCCAGGCTCTGCGGCAAGCCAAGAGTAGCGCTGGCAATTCCCAGGCCAAAGTTGGGAGGGACCCGGAAACAGGTGAGGAAAGTAAACCATTGCAAAGCCACCTCTCCCATGTTTTTTTCTTTTTGAGACAGTCTTGCTCTTGTTGCATAGGCTGGACTGTAGTGGAATGATCTAGGCTCACTGAAACCTCCGCCTCCTGGGTTCAAGCGATTCTCTGGTCTTGAACTGCTGACCTCAGGTGATCCGCCCGCTTTGGCCTCCCAAAGTGCTAGGATTACAGGCGTGAGCCACTGCACCCGGCCCTCTCTCATCGCTGGCATCTCTTTCCTTTTTCTGCCTTCCCAACTAGGCGTCAAAGACGGTGGATGGTCTCTGCGGTTCAAAACCGAGCCAACCGAGTGGGTATGTAGAGCAAAGCATCCAGAGGGCTTCCGAAGGGGGTGACAGAAACACCTGCTCATCCACATGCGCGGGGGCCAGCCGATTCCTCTTGGCACTGACCACATTGGCGGCGGAGCCAAAGAGATGCTTGGGTGCCAGGTGCATGGGAGCTGTGCACCAGTACTTCTGCAGCACCTTGGGGAGCAGGGGGAACAGGGCCAGGTGATTGGACCACCACTTGAGAGGGTCCTCATTGAGGCCCAGCACCTTCAGTGACTTGAAGTTGCTGAGTTCCTCTAGCACCTGCACTTGCCACTCCTCCTGGTCCTCCACACTGCCCGTCTGGCAGAAGATCTCTGCCAGCATGCTGTTGATGACGCTGGTGGGCGGTGGTGTGGACCGGCACATGAGCTTCTTCACGGGCGGCTCCTCCCGGGCCGTGGCCAGGAGGATCTTGTCCTCTGCTGCGCGGTAGCTGCCCGCCGCCATCCTTGAGTTTGTCCAGCAGGTTGTTGGCCTCCTCCAGCGTGCAATTCTCCACCTGCTGCCACTCAAAGGCGGAGAGGAAGGGCAGCCGCTTGTAGCGTGGGTCCAGGAAGGTGTGGCCATGTTGAGAAACATGTCGATCTCGGGGGCCTCCTGGTAAGTCTTCTAGAGCTCCTTGGCAATGACCTCCTTGGCCATGCTGAGCTCCTTGGCATCCATCTCCTTGACGTTGAGCGTGGTGTTCAGGAGCATGTGCAGCAGCAGCTTGACCATGCCAATGGTCAGGTACCGGGAGGCTGACAGCATCTCCGCCACCTGCTTGAAGGGCTGCAACAACTT